TTTCAAAATGTCTGAATTATGATCAGTGGGGTAGGATGGGGATGCATTATGTATAACAACGGTGAAATCTGGTAAAGAACAGAATGGTCAAAGCTTCTCAGGTGAGCGATGTGGCCCATGGGCCTCTTGTTTAATTAACAGCAGTAATATTTTTTTTCCAAAAATGGCATGTATCTACTACCAGTGTTGTGTGACCTTTAACTTTTCCATATTGCTGTTTGTAGCATCACCAGAACATTTGCCTCTGGGAAGACAGAGAAGATGATCATGCAGTGTTTGATGGACCTGGGTCTCCCGGGAGGAAAGGTTAGGATTACACTAGGAAGTCACTTGTAAAGAACACAGTTGTTAGTTAAATTCTTTTTTATACCAATAATTGAAACCTGTTTTTGATTGTAATACCTGAGTAATTATAATTAGTAAATTCTAAGATTTTATTGGTGTTAAATAAAATTATAAGGAAGCAAGAATTATTTTTAAATACTGTCTTTTACGAACATTCTTTTGGTGTTGTTTGATGTGAATACAGTTGTATTAAAAACAGGCCTCATAGAAAATAGAAACACTCTTTTGGAAGGAGATGCTCCACTTCTGTTATTTTTCTTAACTCAGGACTGATGGTCCTTCTAAGGGCATTCGTGTTTTTTTTTCAAATGCATTGTCTAAAAAATGAATGCTTTATGTTTCATTTTCAGAATGATGAGATTGACCCCAAACTATTTACTTTTGACAAATTTTATGAACTTTATCACAAGATTTGCCCTAGAACAGACATAGAGGACTTATTTCGTGAAATGTAAGTGTTATTTTGTGAATTTTTCATATCATTTAATAGTTCAGAAATTTTCATTTATGATGAATAATCTTAAAAATTCTATATTTTTTTTTTATTCTAGAACTTTTTAGCTCTCTTGAGCTTAAACATGTTAAAGTTCAAGTAAAATTTACTGGTTTAAAAATTTGTCTTGAGTCTTTCCATGATCTTTTCACATTTTGGACCTTCTCCAAAACACCATGGCAAATTTGGATAGAATTTTTGATTCATTAATGGAGGTTCAAGTGAAATGCCACACTCTCTTTAAAGGGAGGTAATTAAGAATGAGCAAAAAATTGATGACATTTGTTATAAAAAATTTAAACATTCTCAATACTGTAGATTCCTAAATATACACGTGGAATTAATTATTGCGTAATTTCGCGAGAAGTACCACATGCAAATTAAAATTACTTGCCTTTATTATACGCCCGTCTTAAGACGGGACGTATTATGTTATAGGCTTCATGTCCGTCCGTCCGTCCGTCTGTCCATTCGTGTCCGGCTCATAACTTGAATACTATTAGACCTAGGATTATCAAACTTTGACAGTTGATACTTCTTGGGTAGACGGTGTGTCGCGCACAAAAAGTAGGTCGCTCTTACCTTTAATAAAGATGCTATGACCAAATATGGAAAAATCCTGTCCGGCTCATAACTAGAAAACTATTAGACCTAGAGCTTTCAAACTTGGCAAAATTATACATCTTAGGTAGAAGGTGTGTCGCAGCCTATTTCAAGGTCACTGTGACCTTTAGTTTTAGTGAATTTTTTTAAAAAACTAAGTTTTTAAAATTTTTAATTTCATAATCCTAAAAAATGTAAAAATATAGTTGTATCCTTATTTAAAAATGTTAAATCAAGTAAAAACTTATTATTTCATCATATACTTTACAGCAATCTGTAACAAAATGTTTTGAGAGGAATTCAGTTTGTCCCATGGGCATAATTATCAAGCTCTGGGCAAGAAGAATTTTGATAGCAGAAATTTGCATGTCAAATTAGAGAGAAATTAATGAGTTTATTGTCAGGAGCTAACTGGTAGAGCAGATCTCTGATAATGCAGCTGTAATCTTTATCTTTAATCTCTTGGGAGTTGGGCAAAAAGAAATGGCCTCATAGTTGCTTGTGTTAATTAAGAGTTCTTGATGGCTAGTTCAGAAAAAGATCTTTCAATTGGTGTAATGTAATTAAAACAAATTGATGCTTTAAAATACAGTGTATGATAAAAACTAAATTAATATTTTATAATGTAATTAAAATTAATCCTATTCAAAAATGTTAAATTAAGTAAAAACTTGTTTTTTCATCATATACTTTAACAGCAATCTGTAACAAATGTTAATGTTTTGAGAGGAATTCAGTTTGTCCCATGAGCATAATTATCAAGCACTGGTCAAGAAGAATTTTGATACATGTAGCAGAAATTTGCATGTCAAATTAGAGAAATTAATGAGTTTATTGTCAGGAGCTAACTGATAGTTGTATAATATAATTAAAAGTAATTATACATGTGTTCATTGAAAAAAAAAAAATACATTTCAATTTTTATATATTTGCAACAAATTGCAGTCATGTGACTTTGTCTCACTTAGAATTTTATAGTCTAAAGAATAATTTATTTTTGATTTTTTTATTAGACTGTAGCATTTCCATTATTCCACAAAATATACAATAAACAATTTAAAGCTACAGATGGATATTTTGTTAAGTTCTAACACAGTCAGTTTAGAATTATATGATTTATTATTTGTTATAATTAATCCCTACACTGTAAGTCTCTTAGAGATGTATGTACAATATTTTAAACATGATAAGAAATGGAAATTAGATCATTGAAATCTGTGTCAATCTGTTAATCAAGGTTATATGATTTTCTTGCACCTTAACCAATTTATGATTATTGAACAATATATTTGACGGGCGTATCATGCTGTGGCGGGGCACTTTATTTTTTTTGATGCTGAAATATATGTAAAATCTCTTGATCAACCGTTCATTCGCGGATTATTATTCTCGCGATTTGACATTGTAGAGCCCATTCGGGATAATACGTACTCACGAAAAATAAGGAATCTACAGTAACCACTGGAAAGCTGAAACTTAAGTGAAAGCTTTGTTATATAGTGTAGATTAAGCTTCAAATCATGGCCCCAGAAAGTAGTTTAGAGCCACATACGGGAATCAAAGTTTTACAAGGAATACAGTGTATATAGGAATATAGAATAAATAACAAAATCTTTTTATACGCCCGTCTTAAGACGGGACGTATTATGTTATAGGCTTCGTGTCCGTCCGTCTGTCCGTCTGTCTGTCTGTTAGCTTTTCGTTTCCGGCTCATAACTTTAAAACTATTAGGCCTAGGATTATCAAACTTTGTCATCTGATGCATCTTGAGTAGAAGGTGTGTCGCGCACAAAAAGTAGGTCGCTCTGACCTTTAATTAAGAAGATATAGCCAAATATGGAAAAATCCTTTCTGGCCCATAACTAGAAAACTATAAGACTTACAATCATCAAACTTGGCCAGTTTATGCATCTTAGGTAGAAGGTGTGTCGAGACCTATTTCAAGGTCACTGTGACCTTTGATTTAAATGAAATTTTAAAAAAAATGTGTCTTTTTAATATTCATTTACATATCCCAAATAATGTAAGAGTATTGCACTGTCCTTATTAAAAAAGTGTTAAATCAAGAAAATACTTATTTTTTCAAAGCATATACTTGACAGCAATCTATAACAAATATTATGTATGTTAAAGAAATCCTACCTCTCCCATGAGTGTAATTATCAAGCACTGGTCAAGACTCAAGAAGAATTTTGATAACAGAAAATTGCATGTCAAATTAGAGAGAAATTAATGAGTTTTGAGTGTGAGGAGTTTGCTAATAGCTAGAGCATGGTGTTATCTATATCCCTTGAGTATTGGGCAAATGTGTGAGCCTGTTGGATTAAAAATAGCTCTTACTGGCTAGCCTAAGTTTTAAAATGAATTTAATGAAAAGTAATTAAAACTAATTTAATATTACATAGTAGACTAATCTTATATATATAAAATTGTTAATTTATAAAAACTAATTTTATTGGATTGGGGTGGAATCAGCATGTCCATATGAATTTTATATTAAAACCTGTCGGACATTAAATGTCAACAACAAAAAATCTTTGAGTATTTCATATGTTTTTAAAAAAGTTACGGTAGATAGTGCAGACCCATTCATCTATTGGTATTGATTAATTAATGAGTTCAGGCTAGCTGTCTTAATCACTCTGATCAAGCTGTATGATGACCTTTGGGAATTAGACAGAAGAACTGTTGGTTAGTTTACAGCATATGTCATTTGATGGCCAGCCTTTTCTTTTCAAAATTAATTTGATATAGATTAATTTGTTAAGACTAATTTGATATTGTTTAATATGATGGGCATTTGACAAGGTCTAACACAACCAGCATAGAAATCCATCAATGATGAAATATTTATTATAACTAATGCTTACATCACAGGGGATGGATAAATATTTTTTAGGAATGGAAAAATCATGGAAATTTAGAATCAGGGTTGACGTGATTGCAAGCTAAACTGTTGAAGAAAATTGTAATTTTTGACGGGCGTATCATGCTGTGGCGCGGCACTTTATTATTATGAAGAATAGGGCAATGATTAATATAAATAAAGATTTTTAAGGAGACCAGTCTTTAGATTTATAGAAATACATATTAATAAATATATAGAAAGCATATACTTAGCAAGGAGTTTATATTATCATACATTTTGTTCTTTTTATGAACAGAGCTAGTAGTGCCACAAAAACATATCTTACAGTACCTCAACTTGTGGACTTTTTCAATGAGGTAAGTAAGGTAGAATATACTAATTTTTTAATTATCACAAATTATTCAATATTGACTCTTCTGAATTTTTTTGGAGAAAGTAAAGAAATGTAGTAGTATGAATGTATGTTTGTTTTTCAGAGACAGAGAGACCCTCGACTGAATGAAATTTTATTCCCCCACTATAACAAGAAAAGAATTCTACAGATCATCCAGAACTATGAAAAAGACCCAGAATACATTGAGAATGGTAAACCCATTTAAGCAGGTCTTAGATAAATGCAGAGAAAAAAGATCCTTATCCTTACTCACATGCATTATATAGTCTTCTTATACGACCTCTAGCATCATGACATTTTCTGCATTTAATCCACATTCAATAGTTTAAACTTGTTCTAATCAAACTTAACAAAGAAGAAATTAATACCTCGCGCTACATAAATTATGACCGTATTACAGATTTATATATATATATATATATATATATATATATATATATATATATATATATATATATATATATATATATATATATATATATATATTATACAAGGAATATAAGGAACAACTGTTACAGTAGTGTTTAGTTCACCTGGCCAGAGGTTTAAGCGAACTTCTCTGATGATGTTTTGTCTGTCTGTCTATAAGGCCAAACAAAAAAATACCTTTGTTTACTGTTACATGCTGAAATAAAATAGGGTCGGTAGGTAGGAATTTTTTTTTATTTTATTGAATTTTTTTATACACAAATTCACATGAATTGGTTGAATAACAAAACAGTTTTACCATTGTATGGTGCCTTTATACTTTTGTTTGGCTTCAAATATGGGTGGTTTCTTGCCAACTGTCTAACAACTCAGGGGTGTGCAATTAAAAAAAATCAAGTACTAGCCCACAGGCTTGTAACAGCAATAAAGGTACTAGTCCGAAGTTAAAAGTGAGCAGTCCAAATATAGGGGCAAAAAATTGTAAAAACAAATATTGTAAAAAGTTCATTGTTGAGAAAGTCAGGGTCCTAAGCCATCCATTTTAAAGTTGAAGTTTTAAAAATTTTAAGAAATTATATTATCTTTTCTTTTCTGAACATATTGTACTAGCAGTGTAGCTTATCTAAAATGAAGCAAAATCATTTTATTTTCATTTCAAACCATTAAATACAATTGATATATATTAAAGTTTAACCACATAACACTTAGCTATTAGTTGATTGGGGGACCGTAAATAATGGAAAGAGATAGCTGCATGTATTTACTATTAACAGAAGAATGGAGGAAATTCGGATTAGGAAAAAACGATCGTTTTTTGAAGTAAATAAGTCAGGTAGTACTTCAAAATGGATAAGGTTAAAGTAATTTAAGAACAGTTGGGGCATGTTACCTGGAAAATTTTCATTAGTTGGAAATTAAATAGCAAAACAATGAGTGAAAATACCGTTTGTATTTCTCATGTATTATATGCATAATTTTTATTTTTACTACCCCAAAAACGGTAGCACCGGGCATCACGCGATGCTAGTTGAACACCCTTGCAACTGCCACGCAATGGTAAGCAAATTGCAACGAACTCGTTGGTGTAGAAATTGCAACTCGCTGGTTTTGTTTTTGTACTTTCAATTTCGATTTCAAAGATGAATGTAAAAGTTAAACTGACCGGTCAGTAACTTCCGGATTTTTACGACGAAAAAAAAGTTTGGGTCGGCGATGAAAATTAGGGTCGGTCGGGTAACCATAAACAAACATATTTTTTTGTTACGCCTAAACAACATTTTCCTGTTCTTGTCAAGAACCACAAGGCCAATTTCAACCAAACTTCCCACAAAGTATTCTTGGGCAAAGGAAATTGAATTTTGTTCAAATGAAGAGCCTTGCTTTCTTCAAGGAATTACAATAGATGATCAAAGTTTTCCATTGGAAATATATAGGAAAATTGTTAAGAAGTCCTTTTCTAAGAACAGCGAAGCCAAATGATAGATCCTATAATGGGTGATCAAAGAATTATATTGAAAATTCTTCAAAAACCTCCCCATGAACATTAAAGCCAGGATAAATCATATTAAAACAGGTAAAGTAGATTCAAATTTGTTCGAATCATGAACTCAAGGAAATAGGGGATCAAAGTTAAACAGAGGAATATATATTAGGTAATCATCCAAAAATTTTTTTTCTCAGAAACAGGAAAACTATGATAAGTCATATTTAATTAAATTCAGAAGCATCCCAGGATAGTGTAGATTCAAGTTTGTTCAAATATGTCCCCTTGGGGAAGGAAAGGACCACAAAAGAATCAAATACTTTAAACATACTTTTATTCGCATGCGAAAAATTTTTGTGAGGTTCCTGGGAGCTTGTCATCGCGAATATTTCTCATCACAAAGTGGTCCTTAAAATCTCTATGTCTATTAATAATAGATCAAAAAAGGGTTTGATCGCAAATATTAGTTGTTGCAAACTAGTTTACCCTCAGTAAATGGCGAAATGATGTGGTCGTGAATAAAAGTTGGTTTACAGTATAAAGGTAAAAACCTTTTTTAAAATCCTTTAAAACAATGAATAGTCAAACAAATATGGAAGCATTCTCAGTCTGAATTTAGGGTTGTTCAAAATTCTTTGGGGGGGGGGGGGGAATTAGGTTGTGACATTTTATAAATACATGTATTTATACCTGAACTAGTTTCTGCTTATTCCCTGCCAAAAATGCTCAGATGAGCCACCTGGCCCATGAGCCTCCTGTTTTAATTACATTTTGTATTTTGTAGTAGAAATCAAGCATTGTTACATAATTGGAAAAAAAAATTTTCATAGAGATACAAAACAGAACAAGATGGAAAATAATTTTCAAAAAAAATATCTAGAAGGTGCAGGGTCTTTTAATTTTTTTTTTCTTGTTTTCAGAATGGCTAAGTTCGGATGGATTTTGTCGATATTTGATGTCAGATGAAAACGCTCCTGTGTATTTAGAAAGGTTGGACATATACATGGACATGGATCAACCTCTGTGTCATTACTTCATTAATTCTTCACACAACACATACCTAACAGGCAGACAGTTTGGGGGGCGGTCCTCAGTAGAGATGTATAGACAGGTGCTTCTGGCTGGATGTAGGTACGTAAATCTTACAGATCTACTGAAAAGTGTCAATAACTAGGTGTATGTACTATACATATATTTCTGTTAGGGTTGGGGTCAGAGTAGCCATAGTTAGAGAAAATCAGTATTCCCATGACCATCAGGAGAGCATGGGCCTCCTTTTAACATACAAAATTTTTGGAAAACAATTCAGGTTGTCTTTGAATTGTAAAGTGTGCACAGATATTTTATTTAAGGTACATTTACAGGTCAAAAACCAGAACGGTTTATGGGGTGGAATGGTGTCTGTCATCTGTCTTATTGTTTCAAAATGCACTTAGATTTCATTCAGTTTCATTCAAAGTTCTCAGGAAGACTTGAATAAGATAAATAATTGGCAATTTTAAAAGATTTGTGGATTTTGTGTTTCCGTTTCTCCTTTACCCAGTAATTTGACAGACCACACATTTTTTTGGCCTTAGTACAATAGAATTGATTTTAATTCCTCTCACCTTTGAAATATATTGACCAATAAAGGGATATTATATAATTATGACCCGGTGTTGATCCTTGTCTCTTGTTCCATGTTGGTTAATTGGTTAAACCTTCTGGACAACGTATAGCTCTTTTTGGGAATTGTTGGACCATTTTCAACCAACATCTGATGTAAAGCATCCATTGTTAAAGAGAAGTAAAAACATTGAATTCAATTTTATTTTTTTTTACCTCTTGGGGTCTGAGGGATGTGGCCTAAACCATCAAAATACATGTATGGGGTAAATGCAATCATCAGAAACCTTTTGGTCTTCAGTATTTCAAACTGCATCTTTCAGAAATTTAATACACATATTTATTATGAGAGAGAGATTGGATTTATCTGCATTTCAGTCCTTGGGTGCTGGGGTACAAATGGTAAAGGGATCAAACTTTTGCGACAGTGCGATCTATGTTGAGAATTGTGTGACTAGTTACATTGTGATTGAAGAATAAGATTTTTTTGTTTGTATTTGTAGGATGTTATTCAGGCAATAGCAGAAACAGCCTTCATCACTTCTCAGTATCCTGTTATACTGTCATTTGAAAATCATTGCAGGTTTGTCATGCTGATTAGAGCATTTTGCCATAATTATCTGAGTATTTCTTATAAAATAACAGCTAGTTTTTAGCTAACCTCGACAAAGTCGAGATGAGCTTATGCTATACCCCCGGCCTCGGCGTTGGTGTCGGCTTCCAGGTTAAAGTTTTAGGAGCAAGTCCATTCCCAAGTAACTATGAGCGCTACCTGGACCAGACTTACATAGAAGATGCATCTAGAGATAGAAATTACCAGACATTCTTCATATGCTTGGTCTGACCTACATTTTCCAGATGCGTGACCAGGTTATTTTTAACTGTATATGGAGTTAAAAATATATATTTGTACTCATCAACAATTGGAAACATTTTACTTGTCTTAGCAGTACTAGTAAAGTAAGTCTTTTCTCGAAGTGGACTTAAAAATCTACAAGGTTTGATCCAAAAGTTCATGGAATTTCTTTCTAAAATTTTATCGTGATTTGATGAAAGCAAACAACAGGCATATTTATAATAAAGAGTCATAATGCAACAATATTGGAAAATTTCACAACTTTCTCGTAAGGTACACAAGCTTTCTGAAAATGGATTGTTGTGAAACTTGGGGGAGACATAGACGTTTCGTCAAGTTTGATTTCTGAGGTTACACTATAGATGCATCTCACCATAATGTCCAAGTTGAATACGTACTATAAGTAATTCTACAAAATGCTGTCCTCTTCTCCATTTTTTTACCTCAAAAAAGCCTGGGTATCCTCTCGCATTAACTGATCTTCATTTTTCACCCATATTTCCATATGATGTTTCAATTTCAGTAGCAATGTCTAGAACAGTACATCAGACAACATTGTCCATTAAAGCTTTTAATTTGTCTAGGGGATAAACACTTAAAACAGAGCCTCCAAAAGGTGGTCACACCTTGAATCAACATCCATGGAAGTTCTTTTTTTCTTAAATTTCTTACACCAATGGAAAACCAGTAACTAAATGCATTTTCCCCCAGTCTCTGTCAATAATATACGCATTTAACATAGAGTGATCCCAGGATTTTCACAAAACTTATGACTTGACGGAAATTTGATGTTGTCTAACAACTCATGAATGAGTTGAAGGAGAATGAATGAGATGAACAAGAAATCACCATCTAATAAACTAAATATCCAGTAAAATCAGTAAGACTCTCACACAAAGGTTTATAAAAGATCAAGTAATCGCAATAATGACATAATTATGTTCCCCAAACGAAGTTGGGGAACATATTGTTTTTACTCTGTTTCTTATTATTAAGGTCTTCCGTCTTCACGGAAGACCTTATAGTGATTCTACTATTTCTTATTATTCTTATTATTATTATTTTTTTTTTTTTTTTTGACAAAATTTTGTGCAGGTGATTTCTCGAAAACTATTCAGCGGTTTTTCATGAAACTTTCACAAAATATGTGTCATTATATGAAGTTGTTACATCCGAAGAGAAATTTGGAAAATTCACTTCTGGTGCCAAGTTATGGACAATTTCCTGATTTTAAAATGCGATTTTGTCGCGCACTTTTATCGAAAATTGCAGAGTATATGATATGGAGACTTATTGGAGATGATAGATCATGACTTTC